ACTGAACTTGATCCAAGTTCCCTAAGTGACTGACTCTTCTTTGCCCAGGAAAGGAATTGAGTGTGGTCCCTAAGACTCAGGCTTAGTCAGGCTGAGAGGGCTCCCCAGTCAGGCTGCCTTGGCGGTTGTGTTTTTACCAGTTTCCTTCTCTGCACCTCGATTTACCTCTGACTTCGAAAGCAGGCCCGGCAGGTGGATGAGGGCTCTCTGCTTGGCATTGCCCGATCTAACCAGGGAGGCCAGCTGGCCACCCACTGTCCACTACAGGGGAGGGCCAGCAGGTGTCGGTATGAACTCAGGAATAGAAACACGAGGCCTTTAAAATAAGAGAGGGAAGAAAATCAATGATGCATACCTGTAACCCCCTAGAACCCAAGTGCCAGAATTAATTCCTAGATGCTGCTTCTGTTTGAACAAAAAGTCACTGCTTTTACACTTGAAAAATCATACTCAAAATGTTCAACTCCATGAAATATGTTTTTTGGCTTTAAGAAGTTGTTTGGTGTTTAACTGTTTTCTTTGATTGCCATTCCACCAGTAACTGTTGTTTGATTTGCACTGCACACTGGGGTTTGGGGGTGGGGGGGCTTCTATAGAGCCGAACTTGGGCTTGCTCAGGAAGTGGACCAGGGAATGTAGAGATTGTTGATATTTCCTGGAGCAGAGGAGTGAGAGTTTTTTCTCCTCCTCAGCGTACTCCTAGCAGCTCCTGTCACCAACCTGGTACAAAGCCAGGCCTTTCTCTTCCATGAGCATCTCATCACTGTCCAGCAGCATGTGGAAGAAGGGGAGACAAAAACCGTACCTATATCGTGTCTCCCATTTTTTCCAAGTTTTGCTGTGCCAAATGTTTAAAACTTTGTAAACATAATGAAATTTCATTAATCAAGAACTTATTCATGTAAACAGATTGCTTTTGTAGCTATAGAAAACAGTAGAGATCTTTTAAGGGCACCCAGCCTTGCTGAGCTCACCTTTTTTCCTGAAGAAGGATAGAGGTGAACTATAAACCATTCACCAAGTCCCTCCACCCTAATTACCAAGCTGCGCTGCATTAAACCCACCTCACTAATATAGGGAAACTATTGCATCCTAGTGACCCATGGGCCAAGAAACTTTTAGAAGCATTAAAAAAATAGTTGAGGTATATCACTTCTCACCAAGTGGTTAGAGTCAGTTGGCTGTTTATCCCTTGTCATTTATTTATTCCATAATTATGTTGTGCTTTTTGTTTTGTAAACAGTAATGGAACATACATATTTATGTGTTTTGAAAGAAAACTTTGAGTTTTTTAAAGAACTGTTCCATTTTTAGTTTCTTCTTGGGGCAGGGAAGAAGTTAACCAGTTAATTTGTTTTGAAATATTTAGGCATTCTTTGAGTTATAAAATTGTGATGCAGGGATTTGTGGATGAGACATTCACGTGTGAAAGATAACTTCACTAGTTATCCGCTTACGCAGAATAAAGTGTGTATATGTACATAAAATGTAAGTAATCTTAACTCCATTGTGCAGTGCCTTTTAGATGTTCCGCTTTCTATAAAGTCTTCAAATTTTTGCATATATATTATATATATATGATGTAATGTTATAGAAATATATGTATAATATACATATTTTTTCCAGGGGTATCTGATAGCTCTGTATTTTGTTATGGAAGTTGAAAGAAAAAAGTATTTTACCTCAGAAATTAAAGTTAAATAAAAAAAAAGTACTTTTAAGTAATGTTTGTGGAGTGCTGATTTTGTTGTTCATTATACTCTGTGGCCAAAGGATTTGCAAGGTCCGCACCAGCTCCCCCAGTCCACACTTTTTTTTTGTCTTTTTTAGTCCTTTTCCCCCCAGGCTGAGACCGGAACCCAGGGCCTTGCTCATGCTAGGCAATAGGCAGTAGGCAAGCGCTGCGCCTCTGAGCTAAATCTTTAACCCTGCACAATTTTTTCTTCTTCTGCCTGGGCACCCACATGGGGAGGAATAGCTCTCAACTGTGGTGGAGCTTGTCATTTTCCTTGAGTGGGTGGCTGCTGCCCGATACAGGAAACTGAAGCCAGGGACCCCGAGGGGAGTTCCTGTCTGGAGATTGTTTTCAGGGTCCATCCGAGTACATAGCAGAGGCAGGCACAGAAGGCCACAGACCGCGTGACGCCATGTATGTGAGATTTCCAGGAGAGGCAGATCCAGAGGGACCAGACAGAGATTGGTGGTGCCCAGGCAATTCATTTTGGGGCAATGAAAACATTCTGGACTTCTAACAGAAACTACTGAAGTAAAATCACTCTGGAAGGACGTTATGGTATGTGGCTCTCAATAAAGATCGTTTCATGGTTGGTTTTCTTGTCTTTAAATTCAGGATGTGCCTGTGCCAGGGAAACAGTATTTCCTAGTAGAACAAGAGTCCAAGGGGAAGAAGGGAGTCTTCGTGGGTTTTGAACATCATATAACACACTTCAAGGGAAAAGGTGCCAACAGGAATCTCATTTTACCCATGGGAGAAAGGCAAGATGACTTTTTGAGGATCCCAACATGCCAGGTGTTAGGTTTGGCTTCTACTAAAAGGTAGGAGTTGTAGAAGGGTGTGACTGAGTGGTAAGGGTGCAGGTGAAGAGGCAAGTGGATTAGGAAGGATCTTAGAAGATCCTACATTTTGCATTTTTTTTTCTTCTGGCAATAACCATCCTGGGTGCTTTACAAGAGTTTGGACCAGGCCGATGAAGGGCATGCACGGAAGGCCATCAGAGAAACTACCCTTCAGAGCAATATCTGTTCAGGAAGACTCAGCCCATTGGAAGTGGGGGTAGGAGGGGGACAAAACGACAGGCTCCCTGGTGGACTGCCTAGAGTAACTCAGGTCAGGAAGCTGGAACAGGTTCAGTTAAGTCCCTCTTGCTTCTGTCATTGTTAAAGGGAAAGAAAGGCTTGTTTTGTTTTAGGAACAGACTTGAACAGAGTTTTGAGATGCGGATTCTAAGCAACAGGCTTTGCCAGCCTAAGTTGACCTCTCAGGGCTCAGAATTGGATGGTAAGTACTGAATTTTTCACAAAGAGGAGAGACTGAGGAGGAGACCAAGCCTGGAGGTGAGAACACCATGGGTCTGGGAACAGAGGAGAAGGAGGGAGGATGAGGCCGCCCAGCCTTAGTCGTGGGTTAAGGCTATTACTAGGGAATAAAGCCTCCCGTGGCTCCCCGTTTCCTCTGATGCAGCCTTGCTTGGAAGGCCTCTAATAATCTGGCCCTTGCAGCCTCGTCCTTCACCACAGAGGCCTGCCCGCACTCCCGGGCCCTACCTAAGCTGCAACCAGTACAGCGAGGCATTCGGAGCACTTACGACGTGCTGGTTTTCTTCGGTCTGCTTAGTCGTATGAACTCAATCCTCAGGACGACCCTCTGGGTAGGTGCTGGTCATCCCTGCTCTACTGAGGGGAACCCTGAGTCTCAAAAAAGTGAGCCAATGTGACCCAAGTGCCCAGTGCCTGTGCTTTTAACCACACTGCTACAAGGCCTCAGCCATGCTGAACCACTGATGTGTCTGCCCCACCTACCAGAACACTCCTCTACTTCTAATCAACTGTATCTTCTCCAGAGTTCAACTCGTGTGTCACTGCCTTCAGGGTCCTTTCCTGTAGGACACTGACCTAATGTCACCCTTTCCACACTTCTTGTCATTGCTGACTGGTCTGCTTCTTACCCAACAGCCACGAAGCCAAGGGCCAGCACAGGCAGGGCTCAGTTCATCTCCCTTTCTCCACTGCCTACCACACTGCCCAGGATCGAAGGTGCTGGACAAATGTGGATTAAATGAATAACAAGAAACATGAGGGATGTCTGACTACGGGGACAGAAAACACAGGTTTGGAACATGAGGACAGGCAAAGGGATAAGGGGAGAGTGATACATGGAGGGTCTGGCTTGTAGGCCCCAGAGGAGGGCCACCTGGCAGAGAAGCTGAGCTTGTTGTGGGGGAAGGGGCCTTTCCCAGCACAGCCTTTGCCGCCTCCCCTGCTCCTGCAGTGACTTCTCCAGGCGCTCTCCTTCCCCTCTGCAACTCAACTTCCTGCTTCCTTCAGACTTGCCTCTCCTCCAGTGACATACAGGACATGTTCTTATTTGCCCAAGTAGAATGTGGGCAAGAAAAATAGGAACTGAAAGCAGAGAGCCCTGGCCCTGAAGGTGCCCCCTGCCTCCCAGTCTCCCAGACACTTCTAGTTCTGCACAGCCCCACCTGGGCTTCTCCCTTCCCG